GGTATTTTGATAGCGGCTACTCTAAACATATGATGCACCAAAAGTAACTCTTGTCAAATTATCGGGAAACAGATTGTGAAAATGTTATGTTTGGGGATAGGGCATAATGAAAAATCTCTAGGCATGGAACTCTTAGATTTAATGGTATTCTTGAGCTTAGAAAGGTATACTACATTGAAGATCTCAACACCAACTTAATCAACATTAGTCAACTATGCGAATGTATGAAAGTTAAATTCTCAAAAACTGGCTATGAAGTTTGGAGTGGGGGTGAGCAAGTGATGAATGAAGCTCAATCGAAAAATAATTGTTATGTGCTAAATCAAACTCTGAAAATGGTTTTGCTATCTAAAAAAGAAGACTTTAGTTTATGGCATATGAGGCTTGGCCATACCAACTTCTAGAACGTAATTGACATCAGTAACTTGGGAGCAGTTTGTGATCTACCAAAGATGTCCAACTTGAAATACATCATATGTGGGGACTTCTCTAAGGGAAACCAAAGGAGAACTAAAGACAGTTTGTCTAATGAGCGTGCCAACAACAGATATTTGGAGCTATTACATACATATCTCATGGGGCCGACTGGAGTTGTAAAAATTGATGGAAAAAGATATATTATGGTAATTGTTGACGATTATTCCAGATTTTCTTGGGTGGGATTCTTGAAGGAGAAGAGTGAAGCCTTTGAGAATTTTCAGGTGCTGTGCGAGCAAGTTTTAAATGAGAATGGATCCAAGGTCATGAGGATCAGGAGTGATCACGTGCGAGAATTAAAAAATAAGTCCTTTAAGGATTTCTATAGTCAAAGAGTAATAATACATGAGTTTTCAGCTCCCAAGACCCCTCAGCAAAATGACATTGTTGAAAAGAAGAACAAGATGTTACAAGAGATGGCAAGATGTATGATGCATGCAAATGAGGTTCCCAAGAATTTGTGGCAGAGGCAATTAATATGGGCATGCCACATTGTCTATCGGATTTATATGAGAACTCACACGACGTTAACATCGTATGAGATTTGGAAAGAAAAAACACCAAACATGCAGTACTTTTGAACATTTGGGTGCAGATGTTATGTTCTAAATGATAGAGAAACAATTGAGAAATGTGATTCAAGAGCAGAAGAGGGGATCTTTCTGGGGTATTCGAATAACAATTGAGCTTATCGTGTCTTTAATCTCAGAAGTAGAAAGGTCATGGAATCTATTAATGTAAAGTTCTGCAATGAATTGGGTGAAGAAAGGAATCAAAACTCAGATGAGGAGAGATTGAAACTGAATGATAACTCTTGAAGTTTAGACGTAAAGAAAAACATTGACAGTGGACCAAAGTTGCACATTGTCCAGACATCAGACGAACTGGACTCTGAAACCAACAGCTCTATGTCAGAAATTGAAAGACCATCAATGAGTAGCATAAATCATTCTTTGAATCAGGTTATTGGTGATCCCCAACGTCTAATTTTGACAATGGAGAAGTCATTTAACTTTAGAGAACTTTCTGGATTAAACTGCTTCATGTCAAAGATGGAACCAAAGAACATCACAACAACCTTAAAGGATGAATTATGGGTGGCAGCCATGCAAGATGAATTGTTACAATTCGAAAGGAATAAAGTATGGAAACTGGTCTGACCACCAAAAGGTTCTAACATCATAGGAACAAAATGGATATTCAAAAATAAAACTGATGAAAAGGGGAACATTATTCAAAACAAAGCTAGACTGGTTGCTCAAGGATACTCACAAGTGATAGGATTTGATTATGATGAAACTTTCGCACTAGTTGCAAGATTGGAGGCTGTATGAATGCTGCTCTCAATAGCCTGCTCCATGAAGTTCAAAATCTTTGACATTGATGTTAAGACAAAATTTTTAAATGGTTGGTTGAAAGAAGATGTCTATGTTGCTCAACCTAAGGGATTTGAAGACATTGTGTTTGCCTCAACTACAGACTTCCTTATGGATAAGATTGTGAAAATCATGACCGATGAGTTTGAGATGTCTATGATGGAAGAGCTGAAATACTTTTTGGGACTGCAAGTTCGACAGTGTGGTGATGAGATTTTTCTCAATCAAAGCAATTATGTTCAAAGTATGGTGAAGAAATTTGATATGAAAAATTCAAAGAGCATTCGAACCTCGATGGGAGTCTAAGATAAGTTGTCAAAAACATGAGTTGGGAGCATCCGTGGATTAACAAAAATATCGCAGCATGATTGGTTGTCTACTCTATCTGACTGCAAGCAGGCCTGACATTAGCTTCAGTGTTGGAGTGTATGCTCGTTACCAAGCAAATCTCAAAGAATGTCACTTCAAAGCTATAAAAAGAATTCGGAGGTATGTAAAGGGAACTTCTGAAATTGGTCTTTGGTACTCAAGAAAATCGTCATTGGAGTCAAGAGGATATACAGATGCAGACTAGACCGGGTGTTGTGATGATCGAAAAAGCACGTCAGGTGGGTGTTTCTATCTCGGTGATAACTTGGTAAGCTGGTTTTCAAAGAAACAAAATTGCATTGCACTCTCTACCGCCGAGGCCGAATATGTTGCCACCATAGCAGGGTGTTCACAACCATGATAGATACAACAAATGTTGAGCGATAATGGGATTCAGTGTAAGGAGTTCACACTCAGATGTGATAATTCAAGCGCCATAATATCTCGAAGAACCCGGTGCGGCATAGCCGGACTAAACATATTGATATCCGGTATCACTTTCTTCATAATCATGTTGAGAATGAGATATGTAGTCTTCAATATGACTTTAACTCCACTTTTAAATATAAAATAATACTTTATCCTTTATAATTAACCTTTATTTCATCTCCCAAAGACTCTTGGAAAACCTTAGCCATCACCCCTTCCCTCCAACTCAAATTAAGGTGATTTTGGAGTAAGTTTCATACCTTCTTTCTTCTTTATTCTTGAAATCCGATTTCATAACATATTTGCATTATTTTAAGTTATTTTGTTTATTTAAACAATGGACTTACTATTTATAAAATCATATTCATATTCGTTATGATTTTATTTTCATTTGAACATATTATGAGTTATTTGAAAGACAAATGAATTTTATATGATTTTCTAAAGTTATACACTCATTTTTTTTATACGGAAAATATAGAGTGCTCGATGGATTTTCTGTAAATTTTGGATGCTAGTTTTATACTTTTTTTTATGTTAAATATATATATTTGTGTTACCTTTAATTAGAGATCAAGTTTGTTCCATTTGGATATAAAATGAATTTTATATAAATTTTTAAAGTTACACACCCTGTTTCTTGACGAAAGATCTGTTAAGTATGTTTAACTTCTATTATGCTCTTTCTGGAACTTCATTTTTTGTTTTTTTTAATTGGAAATATAGATATATGTGTTATCCTTCATTAAAGACCACGTTTGTCCATTTTGGGGGTAAAATGGATTTTTAGTGATTTTTATAATACAACTGCTCTATTTTTTCGAAGTGAACGGACTATTTGAGTTAATATGATATTTTGGATGTAATTCAAATTAATAATTGAAATTTTATTCTTTGAAATATAATTTAGAAAAGTTAACTTTGATTTGGAACTAGTTTCATAATGTTTGAGCCAATGATGAATTTATGGTGAATTTTATAGGATCCGCTAAATTTGAGTATGTTGATTTATCGAAGTTGATGGTTAGGTGAAGTCTGACCGAATCAAGTCCCATGAGTCAGTGGTAGTTGAGTTGGTTAGCTTCCCTTAAGTAAGGTAGGGTTAAATTATGCATATTTAAAATGATTGACCATCTAACTATGTGCCTTAGTTAAATAGGCCATTATAATTATATCTCATTATGTGACATGTGGTGAACTTGCTATTAAGAATTGATAATTTTTGTAAGCTGTGGATTTGGCTAGACTTAGCCATTGATTGACAAGTTGATTATTAATTTGTATATTCTGTGGATTTGGCTAGACTTAGTCATTGATTGACAAGTTGATTATTAATTTGTGTATTATGTGGATTTGGCTAGACTTAGCCGTTGATTGACAAGTCGATTATTGATTTGTGTATGCCGTGGATTTGACTAGACTTAGCCATTGATTGGCAAGTCGATTATTAATTTGTGTATGCCGTGGATTTGGTTAAACTTAGCCGTTGATTGGAAAGTCGATTCATAATTTCTTAATTCGTGAATTTGGTTAGAAATTAGCCGTTGATTGGCAAGTCGACTGATGTGTTATGAGCCGTGGATTTTGGCTAGTTTTAGTTATTGTATGAATATCATTTATTTTTGCTAAATTATTTTGTGCATTGCAGATTTAATTCCTTACTCAGTTTTACCTGATGTTTACTACCCTCTTCCATGCATAGTTGATTTTCGGACCTTCATCCACTTGATGCATCATAGGGATGGGATTTTATCGAGCATGCATGACTTTTTATTGGATAATGTCTGAACTTATGATTTTACACTCTCTATTTTTTAGATCCCTACTTTTATGATACATTAAGACTTTTTAATACATGTAAAGACTTCTTACGATTACATGTTTTTGAAATGCTTAAAGGTGTTGAAAAATATATTCTAAAGTTTTCGCAAAGAAAAATTTTTACACTCACTATAATGATGTTTTAGCCTTAGCATCGGGGCATGCCAGATTTTTATCTTTTTCATGTGATGTTGTTCTGGTGTTGGCGCGTGATACTTTGAGATTTTTTTTAGTTGGGGTGTTACATCTGTCCTATTTCTGGATGTGGTTGATGTGGTAGATGAGAATTTCTTTAGTGTTGAGGCCATAGAGTATTTGGACGATATATATGCACACCATGAATTTATACCCAAGGTGCGATTTGATGATTTTGAATATAAGGAACTTGGATTTGAGACTTATCTAAAGGAAAACAAGTTAAAATTCTGGGCAAAATCTCTTAGGGAATTTTGTCCTTCCCTAGTTCTTGAGCTACTCCAACCTCTCCTCAAAAAATTGACGATCCCACTTTACCTTTGTTTCATAAAGTATTCATCAGAGGAAATTTGCTTGACCCATCACCTGATATAAACTCGAAGTATCTTCGTGTGCCTGCTCATTCCCCCACTCATAGTCCTGGTCATTATCTTCAATTCCTTCAAGCTACAGTTGCCCGCTTCATATCTGGAGACAAAGGATCGAAGTTTGGACGTCCCAGATTTAGCCCTACTCTTCTTACGGTAAAGTTTCATTGTCTCTACCGTCTCTATGCATTTGATATATTTCCAACAAAGAATGCTTTTGCTGTGAGTTCCTCAATGGGGATGTTGATTTGCTGCATTGATAATCATGCACCACTTGTGGATTATGGTCGGGTGGTTCTGGAGAGAATGCTGAAATTCACTGGAGACAAAATTTCCGAGTCGGGCCATCATCGGTATCCTGCCCTAACCATAGGCTTGCTGGGATCATTAGGAATAAAGCCTCGTGATGGTGAGGCGATTCATGTTCTGAAATCTCATGGTCCTTTTACTAGTATTTGTTATTGGTTGTTCTCTAGTTTGAATTTTGGTTGATGTCTGCAGGTTGTCTAGACGACAAATAGACTTCAATTGAAGACTGGGCCTTTGTTATTTCAGCTCAAATATTATGGAGGCCTATTTAGCACGTGTCTCAGAAATCGCTTGAATATGGTGATTGTGGTCCAGGTGGATGTGTCTCACAGATGATGAATTTCCATAGAAAAAGAATCTAATTTACTATAACAGATTGGTTGGTAAAATGAGCTTGGCTGAGTGGTATTGTTGTTGGTGTGTTTTTTGGGTGTGAGATTGAGTGATTATCAAATATTGGAACTGTTGGGAGATAGCTATTTGCATTCATGTTGGGTAGGGGTTGAGAAATTGGTGTAAATTTCTTGATGAGTCCTGCTTGAATGGTGTTTATGTATCTCGAAGTTTTGATGATTTCGATAATGGATTATGCCTAGGTTGAAATCCCCCAGATGTAGGCTTGTGCAGCCAAATTGGGTTAACATCTTAGTTGTATAATTTATTATCATCTCCATTACTGTTTGCATTCGTATTTTATTCCAACAACAAACAAGTTATATGTGGTGTGGGTATTTAGTAGTTTATTGTTCATCTAAGCGCAGGGTGCTGCTGTGTGTGTGGAAATTGATTATTTGGGGACCTAAAAGTATTAATTACGATATAAAAAATATTAAGTAAAGTTGAAAAGTATAATTATTTCTTTTTTTTTCAAAATATATTTTACATATTTACATATAGAAGTACAAACAAAATCGGACCATTGTCTCGATAAGATGATTCATTGTAATAGTGTGTCTTTTAACACAATCTGTTTAATACTCAATATTACAAATTTTCTTGGATAACAAGTAAATTAATTTCATATATTGACACTAATACCGTAAAAAAGAAATATCAAAGTACTTACACTCCTTAAATCATTATATGAAATATTTATAGATAATATTGGTTTCAGTCAAATGAAGAATGAGTGAGGTAATGAACATGTTCTTCAAGTATCGTGTCATATTATTGGTTGTCCGTTTGAATAATATTTGAAGTAAAGCTGAAAAAGTATAAACTTTTGTTTGCAAAAATTCTAATTTTTTTATGTTTTATGAAAATACATACAACAATCGAGCCCTTGTCTAGTCAATATTGGTGCTTGACCATTGTGGTCTGGGTTGGTGTTTGGTATCGATGTTAGTGTAGGTGCCAACGTCATTGGTTGGGAAGAGGTTTGATATCGATAAATATTTCTTGTGAAAAATAAAATTATGAATGAAAAGTGAAAAGTAAAATAATTTAATATGGAAAGGATTTTAAAAGAATTAGCCTTCGAAATAAATCATGTCTATAAAATGAAACTATCATAAATACACTACATAGAAAAAGGTTTTAGCATCGGAATTTTTTAGACAACTCAATAATTTTGAAAATTCGGAGACCAATTAGAAGCGGAAGTATTGACAATCGTGTGGATGAATTTTGTAATTGTCTCAGAATTTATGAAACAATTGTTATTATTATTTTTTTTAAAAATAATCAATTCAAAATCTATTTCGGCAACTTGCTGCTACAACCTCTGCCTCCGCGGATGCTGCCGTCTCCGCCGGAGAAGAAGAAGGAAGAGTAGAAGACGCCGTTGCCGTCACCGCTGGAGAAGGAGGAAAGGAGGAGAAGAAGATGTCGTTTCCGCTGCCGGCTCCACTGTTGCCGCTGCCGTCGCTGACGGAGAAGAAGTAGGAAGAAGAGAAGACGCTATTGCCGCCGAAGAAGAAGAAGAAGAAGAAGAAAAATGAAAAAGGAGAGGGAGAAGACAGTGTTCTGGAAGAAGAAAAAGGAGCTCAACAACCTGGTACCGTTGCCGCTGCCACCCCAGACGAAAAAGGCAAAAGGAATAAAGGAAGGAAGAAAGAAAAACATATTTGGGGTGGGGAGAGGGTAGTGGCAGGGTGTGGATGTATTATGTGACCTTTAACTCATAAATTTCATTTATATCGTTTTAACTACATAAATACAGTTACTACAATATATTTATTTCAACTATTATATTTTAGTAATATTCTTTAAATATTTAATTTTATATATTACTTTTTTTAAAAAATTATTTTTATAATTTACATTAATTTTTTTTAAATATTTTTTTAAAAAATTAAAAGATAAAAAATAAACAATTAAAAACAAAAAAAAACAAAAGGCAACGCTAAAAATTGACATGGGATTTGATGTCGGTTTGACGTTGCTTCAGAGCTATACAAAAATTGACACTGTAGCAACACAAAATCTTTTGCATAAGATTAATTTTTGGTCCGTTGGAGCCCAAATCCACCCATCAGCTCCATTTGGAGATACCCTTAGAGTTTGTGTAGGTTTGTTATATAAGTGTATATATATATATATATATATTTAATTAGAAGAATTCGATGAATTATGGGGAAATTTGAATTATTATGGAAGTTTGGAAGTGGGTGAATTTGAATTCTGAGCCATCACACCCAATTAAAATAAAATATATATATTTGTTTCGTTTCAAGTCAAATGATTCAATTTTGTTAAGGACATCATATTTTATTTTAGGTAGTGTAATAAATTATTAATAATAAGTTATAATATTAATTTATTATTTTTTATATGAGCAGTATTGTTGGTAGTTTAAATATTTTAACATTATATCTCAATAATACATATATATATATAAATATTTTGTAGATAATAAAATTTTATATAATACAAGTAAATAAAAAATATATTTATTTATTTATGATTAACTTAAATCTAATTTTATAAAAATGAGAATGTTTTAAATATAGATATCTATATTTGTTTATTAAAGAGAAATCAAAATAAAGGAGTTTTATGATATATATATATTTAATATGTCTTCGAAGTCTTGTATTTTCTGAGACCAAAACAATTTAGTTGATATAACAAATATTAAATGTATGTATTTTCACAGTCTTGGAATTGATTCCAAGACAATTTACAAGACAAAAATCTATTTTTTGTGGCAGTGATATATTTACTACAAGAAAATAACATTTTTGTGAAATTTTTTCGTTAGTAAATTTATTTTTTCAGGGACAGAATTAAAGATGGATTGTGTAAGCTACATGAGCTTTCGAAACGAAATTTCTATTACAAATATGTTAATTTTTACAGTATATATATATATTTTTTATATATGAAAAATACATATAAACTTATCTTTAAAAACACATTTACTGAATTCATTCTATTGTTCTAAAAGATGTACTTAGATATGTTCAGAAAATATTTTAATATTTAAAATAGCAAAAAATTCCTTGTGATTATTCGAATTTGTTGAAAAAATTTTATGGTTCTAAAATTTCAAAAAATCTAAACGTAGTTTTTAAAATGTTGCAGAAAAACCCTCATCCGTTAAAACTTAACGGCGATGGTATGACTTTATTAAATGTATCATCAGCTCCTTCATTTATTTCACTTCCACTGATATATGCGATATTAGATAAATATTTTACTATATTTTAGACGGTTTTTGGATGCGAATTTTGTATATATGCTCCTAATGGTGTGTTTTTGAACTTTCTATTAGGCGTTGAGGAGTTGACAAATTTTGGGCATATTGGAGAGAAAAGCAGAACGCAGAAAGTCCTTAGGCATGATCACGAAGCAGAAAAAAATGAATATTGCAAAAAGGTCCTCCGGGGTTAATTAGCAATTTTAGAATTGTTTGGTTTAAAGTGCAAAGGGGATCTTATGATGGACTTGAAGAGACGATTTTTTTAATTTAAGAGGAGAAGAGAAGGGGACTACCACGTTCTCTACCACGATCTCACCTACAACCTATTTCTGAGAGAGAAGAGAAGCGAAGGAAGATACTACGTACGGGAACTTTGGAGAGCAACGCAGAAGAACTTCCGGGCACTTTTTTCTTCATTTCTAGAATTGGTTTGTTGTCGATTTTTAAACTTGAAGGCATGATGAACTCTTTGATTTATTTTATATTTTTAATTGCTATGGATTGCGAGTAGTTTCATTTCTAGTGTAGGTATGTATTGATGTTCGGGATTGAAATTGTGAGACTTGGTTTCGATTAAAATTGGTGTTCATCGATGTTGGGTATTTTTAATTCTTTAAATTGATGAGTTTAGAAATTTTGAATTGATTATTGCGCACGTACCAATTTAGGATTTCATAGCTATATTAGGGATTGACATACGTAATTGTGATTTTCCAATTGGCGTAGCAACCTAGAGAAGAACACTCTAGGGAAGAATTAAGATCAATTTTAGACAAATCCTCGTAGGAGCTTGTTAAATTGAATTGGGCCTTTCTAGTTTATACTGCTGTTGAGTTAGAAAACTACGGTCGTAACTAGGATGCTTTCCCGATTAGAGAAATAGCTAACGATCGTACCTTAGCTATCGAAAAAGTAAGGAAAGGTTGGTTGGGAACCCTTGTAGATCAACTTTAACCAATTTATCCAACTAGTCGATGAATTTGACTTTTAGTCGATGATCAAATTTCATATCCCGAATGAAAAATTCATGCCTATGCTAGAGTCTAATCATCTTTGGTAATCTGCCGTGCATTTTATTTTATTTTATTTAGTTGAGCGAATTTATTTTCTCTTATTTAGTGTGATAAATTCAAACCCCCCATTATGTATATAGTATAATTTTAGATAACCGAATTTCAATATTATTATTGTTCCCTGCGGAGACGACCCTACTCACCGAACTATTGCATTTTGCAGGTTTTTTTGTGGTGTAGGAACTGATACTTTATTTTGCAGCTTTGACGAGGCTAGCAATTTTGGCGCCGTTGCCGGGGAATAGTAATTTGATTTTTGATATTTGGTTGTTTCTTTTATTTATTTAGCTCTAATTTTTGCTTAATGGTTTATGCCTCGAACTGGTCGTATAGGTGAATTAGTGTTTGATTAAAAAATCGAAAGGTCTGCACGTCGTTTATGGAAAGAAGTTAAAGAGCGTCAGAGGGCCGAGAAAGAAGTTGAGTCACCGGGACTTGACTTAGCTATCCAACTAGCGGATACCTCTAGTTCTAACGAGGGTGAAGAGCCCAAGGAAGTTGAAGAAGTTTTGATAAATCCAATGGCACAAAGAACCTTGAGGGAACTAGCTGCTCCCGACTTAATTCAGCACCTTTTGTGTATTACTTTTCCTGCTATAGCCGATAATACGCCATTTGAACTTAAATCTGGACTAATTCATTTATTGCCGTCTTTTCATGGCTTGGCAGGGGAGGAACCACACAAGCACTTGCAGGAATTCGATGTGGTATGTACGAGTATGAAACCTCCGGGAGTCACTGAGGATCAAATAAAGCTCCGGGCTTTTCCATTCTCTTTGAAGGATGCAGCTAAAGATTGGTTGTTTAACTTGCCGGCCGGGAGTGTTATCACATGGATGGACATGAAGCGCAAATTTCTTGAGAAGTTCTTTCCCGCATCCCGGGCTGCGAATTTGCAAAAAGAGATTTGTGGCATTAAACAAGCATCAGGGGAGTCCTTATACGAGTATTGGGATAGATTCAATAAATTAATTGCTCGA